AAAGAATTAATTAAATTGTTAGAGCAATTGATTACGAATTGGGCCCAATAAGGGGTTAAAATTATAATTTGGATTTTAAGCCCAACTTTTATGTCATCTCGTAGGAAATATTTTTGTGATCGCGTCGGTTCAGACGGCTCGCGAATCGGAGTTACAGAGCTCAAGTTATGACCATTTAATCAGGTATTTTGGGTCCGAATCCCAATCCTTTTTGGAATGGGACCATTAAATAAACCTAAACCACATAAACCTTATCTTATCTTCGTTCGTCCTTCTCCTTCTTCGTCCGTTCCTTTTTCTTCTTCTTTTTCTTCTTCTTCTTCTTCGCCGATCGACATCGCCGCAGCCAATCGTCGCCGCCCAGCCGGTCGTCGCCTTCCCCAGCCTCGCCGCCATCATCGCCGACGGGTGCAGTGCCGCCACGTCAAACGGAGGACGTCGCCAAACACCGGACGCCGCTGTTTCGCCCTCTCCGGAAACGAGCTCCGCTGAGTTGCAGCGTCGCCCGAGCCTCCAGCCACCGACGCCCGAACCTCCAGCCGCCGTCGCCGGAAGCCAGTCGCTGCCCATCCTTCGCCGGAAGTCCGTCGCCTCCACTGCCGGCGTCCTTCCCCGCCGTCGGTTGCAGTGCCGTCAGTCGCTGCTCATCGCCGTCGAGCTGCCGCTCCGCCACTGTCGCCGGCGTCCGTCACCGTCGCCGCATCCGGCCGCTGCCCCGAGTTGATATCGCCGGCAGATTAACCTCCACGCCGGATTGATTGGTCGATTTCGTACTTTGACTCGATTTGACCCGTTCGGTTGATTTCGTTGATTTGTCTTCCGTTCGAGCTATCGATTCGATTTCGACGTAATCTAGGTCCGTACTATGAAGTTAATAGCATTGAGAATAGATTTAATGGTTTGGATCGTTATATGTGTTTATGCTATAATTTGGCTAAATTGGTTAATTGAATTAAATTGATTGTTTGAATTGAATTGTTGAGGATTGTGAATTGACTGAACATGTTTGACTTTGACTTGGGTTAGGACATGTTTGACCTAGGCTTTGACTGGATATTCTGTTGTCGTAGGTTTGACCGGATGGTTAAATCCAAGACTTTAATGAATTAGTTAAGTTAATTAATTAATTCTAATCAGTGATTAAGGTCCATTGGTTTATTGTGTTGAACATAGAAACTGGCCATCGCTCGGGCGGCTGCAGGGCCTGGTCAGTGAGGTTAAGACGTGCGCACGAGGGTCTGCGATCTTGGGTTTGAGGCCATCGCCCGAGGGATCCTACCTCCACCGAATTGAGGCCATCTTCGGTATTACGGATTGAGGCTATCTCCGTCATAGGCAATAAATGTTA